GGTGAGACCAGAGAATGTTACTGAAGGAGGAAGACATAGGCTTCCAAGGTCTCCAGCAGGCACTGACTTGAGAACCAGGTAGTAAGGCTTGAGATAGTAAAACAAGTCATTACGCAATAGCCTCAACATTTATTCACAAATAAAAGACCCAACCATAAACCATACACTGAACAGTTCTTTTTGTTTGCAACAAGAGTAAAGAAGTATTTAGTTGGCCTTAATGTTTTGGTTTTGGGGTATCTGAAATTTTATTTTTTAAAAAATATACTTCAGGCCGGGCGGTGGTGGCGCACATCTTTAATCCCAGCACTCAGGGAGGCAGAGGCAGGCGGATCTCTGTGAGTTCGAGCTAGTCTAGAAGAGCTAGTTCCAGGGCAGGAACCAAAAAAGCTAGAGAGAAACCCTGTCTTGAAAATCCAAATATATATATATACAGCCCCTGAGGTGCAATCCTTTTGTTTCTGCCACCTGAGAGCTGGGATTACAGATCTGTGCCACAACACCTTAATCTTTGCTTTGAAAGATTGAATATTAACAGAACCTAACCTTAGAAATATTGAGCATATTCTTTTAGACTTTAAAGAATTAGCTGAACATAAAACTTTCTTTTGAAAGCCTCTTTAGATTTTTACATGCCCAGTGAAGACTTGATTGTGTTTAAAGTAAACTTCACTGTGATTTTCTCTAAAGGAATAACTAAATTAGCTTGTCAGAGCTGCAACACCTTTCCTACAAACATGTCTAAATAAGCTGGGGGCACTCCTTACAATTTAAGGTGTAAGTTTTTACTCCACCTCCCATATAAGCAGGCTTATTGGCTTTCCTGCCCTAGCATGCCCAAGTATGTTACTGACTTTTTAAGTATTTCATAATTTTGATATTACAAAGGTTTTGTAAATTCAATCTTCAATTATTGCTAGTATATCAAACCACTTAATTTTCCATATTGACTAGTAATAATTTTGCTTTTTAATTCTATCAACTCTTTTCACATATTTAAGTTCCTCAAGAGAAAAATTCAAACATTTTTGCTCTTTTCCCCAATATCTACACCCTGATGACTTCCTTCTTTGCTGCAGTGGCTGGGGCTTGAAATCTTGGGAGATATACTTATTCTTCTCACATGGACACAATGTTAGTTTAGTCGATGGTTTTAAATTGATGCCTTTTATTGGACTGAAGCCACCCTTTCATTCTTACATTTGATTTTCATTATGAATCATCAAATAGTATTTTTGTACAAAATATTTTTTACCTTTAATTTCTACTTTTAATTTGTGAAGAAAATTAATTACAAAGGTTAGTTTTTCAAATGTTAAATCAAGCATCCCAACTCTAAATTTTACTTAGTCACAATCTATTATTATCCATTTCCTGCACTGCTAGATCTCATTCAATGAAAACTCTAAAAATTATTTATTTATTTATTTATTTATTTATTTATTTATTTATTTTGGTTTTTCGAGACAGGGTTTCTCTGTGGTTTTGGAGCCTGTCCTGGAACTAGCTCTTGTAGACCAGGCTGACCTCAAACTCACAGACCGTCCTGGAACTCTCATCAGTAGACCAGGCTGGCCTTGAACTCAATGAGATCCACCTGCCTCTGCCTCCCGAGTGCTGGGATTAAAGGCCTGCGCCACCACCGCCCGGCCTAAAAATTTTTCTATTTGTTTGTTTGAGACAGGTTCTCACTGTGTAACTCTGGCTACCCTCGAACTCAAAGATCCTCCTGTCATCCTCCCTACTGCTAGGATTAAAGGTGTGTGGCACTATGCCCAGCTTCTATTTTTACAAGATACTTTCAAGGATTTTATTTTTGGCTTTTATCAGTTCACCCCTTTTCCACAGCTCATCAGATGCACTGCCTCCATTTCTATTTTCCGTAAAGTTTTCCTCATAAATTTCTCAGGTAGGAACTATGGCTTAGTGGTTAAGAACAGTGGCTGCTCTTTTAGAAACTCAGGTTCAGCTCCTAGCACCAAAATGGTGGCTCACACCAATCTAACTCCAGCACCAGGTATGTGCTGTAGAATATTAAGATATGTCATATTTGTTTATGCTATGGGATATTTTTTAATGATGCAAAGATATGTTGCATTCTTTTATGTTTCCTTTGTTTAACTCTGTGAAGCTGTGTTACTTTGCCTGTCTAAAACACCTGATAGGTCTAATGAGGAGTTGAACGGCCAAAAGCAAAGCAGGAGAAAGGACTGGTTGGGCTGGTGATAGAGAATAAACAGGAGAAATCCTATTATGGTCAAAAGTGTACTTTCTATCATTTCAAGCTTTATTTATAGAGCCCTTTTATAGCCTAAAATACAATCTATATAAACAAAAATGAATTTAGTATTTTAAAGGAATTTACATTATGTATTGCTTGACGAAATACCCCATACTTCTCACAGGCAAACTTACATTGTTCATGTCTTTCTGTAGCATTATTGATTTACCATTTCCTTTGTAAAAAGATATAAGCAGGAATACTGAAGTCTAACTGAAATTATGATTTGTACTTTTTCTTTCAGTGTTTTTTAATTTTTTATAGATAAGATTGCTAAGTCTCCTTTAATGAAATTACTCAATTATCCTTAAGAATTGTCTCTTATTGTATATAATATTTCATGCTCTGAAATCTTTGACCTTAATTCAGCTAACCTAGCCTTCTTTTGATAAACATTCTTTTATTTTTTTCCAATAGTATCTTTTTAAAGTGGGTTTCTTATAAGTGATGTACACATTTGGTCTTAATATATGAGACCAACTCTCAACTTTTATTTGAGGTCCTTTAACTACGGTTGCTGTTCAATACACATATGTATAGGCTGTATTTCCAACTACAGCTGTATATTCAAACCCAACCTGTCTAGACTGCAGAGCTGACTCAGTGAGTAAAGTCGTCAGCACCCAAGTTCACGCACAAAGCAGGACAACAGCGCATCTACAATCCCAGGGCTCCCACAGCAACGTGGAAGGCGGAGGCAGGGCTACTAGTCTGGCTTACATAATGACAAAGGTCAAGAGAATTTGTCTCAAACGAGTTGAAGGTGAGCCTTATACCAAAGACTGTCCTCTCAGCTCCAGAGTGCGTCAGCACGGACTCACGAGATCTCTTTCCTAAATTCTGTCTCATCACTAGTTCTCTTCCTGACTCTTTTGGATTGAGTATTTTTATTTTATTCAACTCTTCTACTTGCATATAATCTAAACTTTGTTTTCTGTCTTTTTACTGCTTACTCCAAAGCTTACATTATTTACACAGTCAGACATGTTTATGCACTGTGTATTTAAGATACACTAGGTCACAGCAGTCTATAAACTTTATGGGGATTTCCCTTCCATTATTTGTCTCAGTGAAGTCACTTTCATATCAAAAGTTGAAAATATGAAGAACATGTGTATACCCATATACCTACCATTTACTCTTCATTCTGCTTTTGCAGACCTGAGATTTCATCTGATATACCTTCTGTATCAAAAGGTCTTTAAAAATGGATACTTAGCTGTGCGGTAGCGGTGCACAACATCAATTCCAACACTTGGAAGGCTGAGGGGGGTAGATCTCTCTGAGTTCCAGGACAGTCAGTACTACATAGAGAGATCATGTCTCAAAATAAGTAAAAGTTAATAATAGTAACAATAAGAAGTACGGCGTTTGTGCTGAAGAACTGTAGACTGACATTTTCCTTCACTGCTTTAAAGATGCTCTGCCTCCGACCTGCAGGAAAACTATGCAGTTACTGCTTTCTTATGTAAAGAGTTATTTCTCCGCTAAACATCTTTAATATTCTATTTATTAGTAGTTTTTAGTTATTTATGATGGGCCTTAGCAAGATTTTCTTTGTTTCTTCTATCTGGAGTCTACTTCTTGATACCCTGAATTTATAGTTTTTGTGGTAGATAACTTCCAAATAATCTCCCAATGGTTTCTGCTTCATGGTACTTGAGTCTTTATGCCAAAACTCACTCCCTACATTTGGCTAAACTTACTAACCTGCTTTTATTAAAGTTTTTCTAACTTTATTTTATGCACATGTACATCTATGCACCAAATGCATGAAGTATCCACAGGGGCCAGACCAGGAAGTTCTGAACTTCCATGAGACTGTAGGTAAGGCTCCAACTTCTGTGAGTTGCCTGGTCATGCTGATTCATCACATCAATAGAACAGTAAAATACGATTCTATAACATGTTCTGAGACACAGTGGGTGCCTACTTTGGTTTCTTTAACAGAAAATTTCCTTCTACATCAACAAATTTCTCCCCCCATTCTAATCTAGTTAGATTTTTTTTTCTTTTTTCCTTTTGAGGCAGGGTCTTAATCTGTAGCCCAAGCTGACCATGTAGCTGAGTCACTATGTACAGCTCAACTGGTTGATTACTCTCCAAACTTTGAAGCTCCTGATCCAAGATGGAATGTCATGGTCACCTAACAGAGACAATTTTACACACACACAGGCACACACAACACACACTATTCTACAGAAGAGAATGAGTCATCATTCTTTAAAAGAAAGTTTCCTATGGAGATAATCAAACACATAAAAGTAACTCAAAATTAATTATCTAGAAGTCCAGCACAGTGGTACACACCTTTAATTCCAGCATGAGACAGAAGGGTCAAGAGAGAGCAACATGGGGCTACCTGGTGAGACTGCTTCCAAAAGAGGAAAAAATTAAAATAATGCTGCTGCTGCTGATGGATGAAAGCACGGGGATAGAAATAATTTGGAAAAGTAATCATCTTTCTGGGGGATTCCAAAGAAAAGACTACTTGTTTTTTGATTTTTGTGTTATACAAACATTTGGAAAAACCAAGTTCAGTAGTAACAGACAGAAATAAAATTTTACCAATAGCCTTCAAAATTATAATCCTTATAATCTGACAGAAGAGCAAAAACGGAACAAATAATACAAATAAATAAAGTTTTACTTAAAAATAAAAAATAAACAAGACTTTTATTTCTGCTTTTTGTCCTTTCAGATCCCTCCTGACACTTACCCTTTTCCAAGTAAGACCTTGGAGCCCACGGTGGATCCTCTTCAGCATAAGGATCACTGTACTCAACCACAGCTGCTTCCTCCTCCTCATAATCTTCTGGAGGTGGTGGTGGAGGCGGGGACTCATCAAAGACCGGCTCTTCCACAGGCGGGGGTGGGGGTGGTGTATCTGAAACTAAGAATTTATCAAGCTGACAAACTATAAATCATGCAAAGTTCAATATTCATCTAAGCTTCTAGATTCATTAAGTATAAACCCATACTCAAAAATAATCATCTTTCAAGAAACGAAAAAGAGAAATTTTCCCACCATTATGATATTTTAAATTGCCAAGCATGACTTCTCCCTCCTTTGTTTGAGTGTTGATGGATGCCGAATGGGGTTTGGTCAGAATACTGTTAATGGGGCCTCCACAACCTTTAAGAAATGAGTACTATATATTTGGCTTTTATATCCTAGTCAAGGAATTATCAGAGATATTAATAACTTGGATAGTCACAATCACCTCAGAAAGAAAAGTGAGTCAAAGAAATAGTCCAATTTTTACAATCTACTACTTTGTTCTCAGTTTTCTGCATACATATTCAGACAGATGCCCACTCTAACCCAAACTGGCTCCTAGTACTGGAATTGTAAGGGTTTCCCACAGCAGCAGTCTAATTCTCAGTAAACAGAAATGTATCAAATTGAGGAGGAAAATCACTAACAACTTAGGATAACTTGAGTCAATAAAACATTTTGTTTGTTTGTAGAATTTAAACTAATTCAGGATTAGTCATTATTTAAAATTTCTTGAGACTACATGTCCATATTATTAGAATCAGTCTCATCACATTGTAGCGTGTAACAAAAAAAAATCATCTTCAAACCCAGAGAACTCTTGAAATTCTTGATACATATTTGAACACAACAAAGAAAAATAAATTTACATTGACCAGCTACTCAGTTTTAATCATCAACACTTACTTATAAACTACCAAAACTGTACACATGAAATTATCTGAACAATCAGTCGTACCAACACCATCCTCTGATAGTTCAGTGTTCCTCCGTTTTGTACTTATCTACTTTATAAAGAGTGTCTCATTAAAAAATCTTTACTCCTATTGGCTTAGGGCTTTATTTTCTTGATAGTGGGGTAGCCTTACCATGTAGCCTAGGTTGGCCTTGAACTTATGTCTTATGTTTTAAGATTTTTAGGTTTTGG